GCAGCAGCAGCATCACGAACTGACCTCGCTCTTCGAGTGCCCCGTCTGCTTCGACTATGTGCTGCCGCCCATCCTGCAGTGCCAGGCCGGGCACCTGGTCTGCAACCAATGCCGGCAGAAGCTGAGCCTCTGCCCCACTTGCCGGGGCTCCCTCACCCCCAGCATCAGGAACCTGGCCATGGAGAAGGTGGCCTCGGCCGTGCTCTTCCCCTGCAAGGTAAGAGGAGGAGGGGGGTTGGCAGGGGGATGGGGGGGAACTCCCATCCCCCTGCCCTCTGATCTTAAGGATGGGATCTTCCCCTTGATGTTTTGCTCGCTCCGCGGTTAGAGGAGTTATGTCCCTCCCAGGAGAACTGAACAGCAACGGCTGCGTCTGTCGGGCAAGTTCTGGTTGAGGTGTATCAGCTGGAAACGCTTCTCCAGTTGGACATTCTCTAGATATAAAATAAGGCAGCAGCCAGTCAAGAAAACAGCATTTCCAAAGGTTCCTCCGGGTTATCGCTCCTGTGGTTGAGGCCGCACTCGTTGAAGCGGCGACTCGGAGAAGGAGGGATGCTGGTGAGGTTTGCAACGGCTGGAGCAAGCGCTGGGGATCAGGCAGCCCAATGTCTTGGTTATGGGACTGGGAGAGCTTTGACTCCGACCCGGCAGTGGTTTGGTGGTCTCTGCAATAACCCACGGTGTGGGTCTGTGCCGGTCGGCATGTCAGAGGCTGCAGCAAGCAGGAGGCCGGGGACTGGGATCATTCTGGGTCGGGGCTTGGTTTGGTTTCTCGGTACAGCACCTGCAAGCCGGTTCAGAGCTGGAGAGTGACTTGAACTGACAGCAGCCGGCCGGCGTGCCGCACCTCGCAGCTGCCCGGTGAGATGTGAGTGCAGGCAGGAGCGCTGGGCCGCGGTGCATGGGAGGGGGCGGCTGGGGCAGCACAGGGGGTGGCGGTGCCGGCAGGATGCAGAGTTCCCCCACAGCACGCTCACGCGTGTGCCTGTGAGTTGCCTAGCTCAGACCCGAAAACACGGTGCTCGTGGAGCCCCACGTGCCATGGTACGACCCATGCGGGAGCGTGCGTTCTCCCCGCACGCCAGTGTCCGCTCGCCAGCTCTCCGCTCCCTGGGCACCCAGAAGTTCCTCGCAGAGGCGTAAGCGAGTCTCTGCTCCTCTTCCCTCACACGCCCTCTCTTTTATGTGGATTTTTTCTGCCGTGAGCAATTCCTGCTCTGCTGCTTTCACTGTTCCCAGGAGCTGCGAAGCGAAATTGGCCCACGTTCATGCTTTTCACTCTCGCTTCTTGGGCCCAGAAACAGCAACACGCCGTCAGGGCTGTGATTCTCGGTCGGTGCTAGGAAGGTCACAGGCAGCCAGCGGGCAGGTGGCCCACCGTGCCCCTCAGGGGTGGGCGTCCGTCGGGGGCTGCAGCAGCACCAGGGGTTTCGGCAAGAACCACCCCGCTCTGCAGCTGGGGCGCCACAGCTCACCGCGCGCCAGGGCCCGGCCCTGGTCCCGCTCGCCGGTGGTTTTCACCACGTGAAGGGAACCTGACGTAAGCTTTGGGGGGGGCGGGGAAAGTCTGAGCTGCAGAAAATGTGAAAGGACAGAGACTGTGGTCTGTCCGGAGGAGGTCCCTGCCCTTCTGGAGCCAGCTGTGAACAGTGCTGGAAATAAGCAGGGTTGAGGCACAATAGAGCCAACAGAAAATGGGGATTTGGTGCTGCCCATGGCTACAGCTGCTTTGCTATAGCTGTTCTTAAAATGCTTTGAGAAAGAATTACAGTTATTGCATCTCTGCCCTTTACAGGGCTTCTGGAAAAATATCCATAGGAGGATTTAAATCTTAAAGTCACAGTAAAGTTACTTAAAATATAAAATGCCTTTTGGTGCTCTAAGCCATCTGCAGAAGACAAAATGCACATCATGAACACCTTGAACTCCTAATTAATGACTGTCAAAAGGAATTAGTTGTTTTCTTTCATCTTTTAAATAAGTGCAAGTGGAAAATAATACAAAGGTGCTCTCTAGTTATGAAGCTGACTTAATTTGAATATAGGTTCTTCCGTCACTTTGGGGTTTTTGTCCCATACTGGCTCCGGGAGAAAATAAATCTTAGCAATTGGAAGCTTCCTGAACAGACAGCAGAATGCATTTTCACAGCAGTTGTGTGCGGTACGCTGTGATCGATAGCTGCTAAACTCGGAACTGTGACCTGGCCAACTGAGCAGCATAGGGCGGGAGAGGCGTTTCTCGATTTAACCACTTCATCCAAAGGCTACGAGACAACAAGTGGAATCCTGAGTGTTCTCTGCTGTCATCGGCAGAACGGCGTTCGGTGTGTAACCACGAGTATTAGCCGAGATCTGCGCCCTGCCGTGTTTTGCTAGCCTTTTGTGGTGGGACTTGACAAACAAAGACGTTCATGCTTGAGTGGTGTTGGCATGGCCATGGAAATGATGTGGGCCCAGCACTCCTCATGTGCCCTGTGTAAAAATGTAGGCGGTTCCTGCTTGCATTTCAATTTAGAGTAGAACTTACCTCCAACATACACGGGCAAAAGCTAGCCCAGCACGAAGGAAAGCATATCCAAATTCAGCGTTTGTTTACCCGCCGATAGCAGCCCGGTTGGGCAGCTGTATGGATGGCATTTAGCAAGGCACGACAAGCAAAAAGAAAAAAACAAACCCCAACTCCTGCATAGGTACACCAGTGAATTCTCACTGCTGTGATTAATTCAACCTAACAATAAATTTTACTTATAATAAATGAAATTACTTTTCTAGTTACTACATACATTAAAAAAAAAAAATCTAAGTACATGGGGCTTGATTTTTCAGGGGATTGAAACCCCGTTCTTACCAGCTTTTCTAGGAGTGGCGATGCTCTGCATCGTGGAAGCTAGGACAGACCCCTCGCATGAAGAGACTCTTCCAAGATCCTTGAACACAGCCATCCCTAACTGGAGACACTGCCACGCTCCTGAGCCTCCAGGTGGTCTGGTCCTTTTGAAGACAAGGGAACCCAGTAAATTCATTGTACTGTCCTCTTACGCTTTGCTTTGCCAAAGAGCCTTTCTGCACCTCACAACCAACACTTTGCATTTAAAAAGCATAGTGAGACTGTACATAAACTAACTAGTCTTAAATAATACCAGACTAATAATCACTTTCTTTGGACAGGTGCTAGGATCAGGCAGAACTGCTCTGTGTCCTTAAGAGCACTGCTGCTACACCGTCAGCTCAAGGGAAAGCACAACAGGTTTCCCACGTAAGCAACCTGCAAACCGAAACTGCAGATTCACTTTACTGTCTAGAAACTTACCCCTGCATACTGTCAATGCTGACTCTACAGCCTCTTCCAAGCTTTTTTTTAATTTTAAAAAAATGATGTCATTTTAAAGATTTTAAGCAAATACACTAAACCTAGGTAAGGTCACACTTCCTATTTCCAAGATATAGTAGACTCCAATAAAGCAGTGAGGTTTTTTCCTGACAAAAATGCATTTTATTTTATTTTTAATTGAACAGATATGCCTTAGACACAGCTTCGCATACATCACCCTGCCTGCACGCTTGCAGAGAGCTTGTGGGAAACGCCCCAGCGCTCGCTGGTCCTTGCCCAGGGACCATAAG